TATGCTGCCCTGAGTACGTGCACTAGAAAACGGCGAATGAGGCATGATAATAATTATTATGTGGAAGGCATCCTACAATCCAGTTTATAAATTGATTTATAGAAAAGATACTGATAAGATTCTGGAAGTTTTGGAAGGCAAGATATTTTCGACAGCGTCCACACTGGCTTTGGAATCCAAATAGCCTCCTACCCAATGGCTAATGTGGTCTGTCTCTCCGAAAATAAAGCAGAAGGTGCATGAAGTTACCCACTTACCTCCATCTGGTGCCGAGGTTAAAGATACGTTCTCTAAATCCATTCCAACATGTCTCCATGGCATGGTGCTTAATTACCACAGGGACAAATTTACATTTTACACATACTTGTCTCATTCTTTTCCCTCGCAGCTACACCACTCTTCTCGGAAAGTTCACTAGGTACCACTTCATTGTACTGCTCTCTGACGTAACGCCACGAACTTGATAACGTAGAATGTAAGAGGAGGTCTATCTCAACGCCTTCTCGTGCAGACTGAATGGCAGTCTGGCAACAGCGAACTGTGATTGGTGATGTGTTAAGATTGCATTGTTCTCGCGCCACGGAAGAACATACACTGCCGCCACATCTGACCACGACAGAGCAGGCAGTGAGAGTGACAGTAACAGTGGCGGTACAGACCCCTGTTTTAAAGGTTCTTTATTGACTTCTGTAAGGTGAATGCAACATGGCTGCCACCTTCACAATCCAACTAGCTTTCCGAATTTTAACGTACTCCGCGGCAGTAACGTTTGGTAAGTTACATAAGCATACCGAAATTACTGTTTCTGTGTCACTAGCAAAGTGTTTGGATCAAAGAGGCATTCTTAATATAGCCCCATAAAATGAAGTTGTTTAAAATTAGTAAAATTTCTGCTTAACTTTTTACTTGTAGGAATAGATGATGGAAGATCGCGGCCAGAGATATTGTGACATTGTGAGCGTTGGTTACTACAGGCAAACGAGCGTCTGTAAGAAATAGTTTTATAGAAACTAAATTGCGAGGAAAGAATCGTACATGTCGGTAATTATAAGACACATGTACCCGTACTGTCTGCCACGTGATTATCCTACACGAGAGATATAAATTCATGAGAAACTTCAATGTGAAAGAAAAGAAGAGAGACGAAGAAAAGAATAAAGAAGAAATCGGTTAAGCAAATGTAGGTTAATATGAAATGAAATCTTTTCGGGCGACCAGCTGTATCGATGTGAATTTACTGTATTGTATTAGGTATTTGCCTGTATCTGTTTTAATTCCGTTCATAATTATATATACAGTTAAGAAGCCCATTTTTAATTAAAATTATTATGATGACTTGTAGCGTTAACAGTTAAAATTAAAATTACTATTTTATATATATAAATAAAAATTATATATATGTTCTCATGATGTAAATATATAATATTATAAAAATATGAAACACTTATTTTAATTTTAACTTTAAATGCTACAATTTTATCATGATAAATTTAATTTTAATTTGGCTTCTTAACTGTATATTTTATAGATAATTAAGTAATTAAGCAAATGCAAAAATTTATTACTGATAAAATAACGAATTTCGCTTAAATAATTTCAGCATATATTGATGTTGATAGATATGGTAGAATCATGTTGTCATATAATTCATCACAAGTATGTATAAGAGTTTTCTGGACGATATGCGTGTGCATATTCCAGCATATAGTACTTTTCTTATTCACAGTCTTGAGAACCTGAAATCCAAACCATAAAATTTCATTTACACATATGATTACTTTACTGCCATTGCTAATTGCACCTAAGTACGACTTTTTGTAGGCACCATTCGAGAGGGCTAAGTTAATTTTCTGGCTGTAATTCCAACCGGTCCTCCACAAGCCAATTACTGTAAGAGCATCAGCACCTTTTGCTATTTCTAGACACTGAGCAGCCAGCCAAGTTTCTGCTTGCAAGAACAGCGATTATAGTCGGAAAGACAGAATAACACAGTAGGTTAATGTGCAGTTAGGTAGGCGGGGCGATCAGGCTCCAGCGAAGGATTAATGTACCATCACACAATAATTGCTTTAATTAACGAAACGAAGCCGAGAGGAACGTGTGGAGGGGAAACTGAATAGAGAACAACCCTCCGTACTATAGTTCGTTGGCGTTCCTTTGAAATGTTATGATCTCTTTAAGGTAATTCATTCCAGAATGTTACTGAAAACGGTGGCTCTGTGAAGCACGGAGTGAGTACGAGGGAAAACGGCTGGAGTGGGGAGGAATTAAAGGATTTAGGAGTGGCTGAAATGTATGAAGGAAAAAACTACAAAAACAATGAAATAGCATATAAACTAGATAACATTATTAAGCGTTAGTCTTATAAAACACAGTGGTTACTACATGTACCACCTGTTTCAAAAATAATAAACTCTTAACTTTACTTAAATAATGTATTCATGTTTCCTTATGGTTCCCAAAATAAGTGATTATGCCAGTGTGAACAGAAATGATCTCGCTTTTTACTGGAGTCACTTTGTGTTTTCTGTGGAAGTAGGGACCGAATGAACTTCTATCATGAAGAGGGACTAACCACTTTGCTGCGAAGGTCGTCAAATTATATATTTTCCTAAATTAGGAAATTCTTCATTATAAACTCTGTTACCTGTAGTCCGCAAGCGAACTGCACCGACTGAGCGACTGCCGCTTGTCGGCGAAGTCAGTGCCAACTTTTTGCTGATAGAGAGTGTCGCGTGGTCAACGGATCCCCACGGCCGTTAATCTCGATTTTCTAGACCGGAACCGCTATTTTCTTGAAATAGCTCCTCAATTATCCTCACGAGGCTGAGTAGACTCCGTTCCAGATCCACTACATCTCAGAAAATCTGGTAGCGCCGGGAATCGAACCCGAACCTCTGGATCTGTAACCAAGAACTCTGACCACTAGACCACATGTGCGGTTGGAAATTCATCATTAATCCAAAAAGCAGAAATGCAGCGGCCCTTGTCTGAAGACGCTTACTTCTAACCGTCACTTGATACTACTCTCATCTGAAGTATGAGTGGGCGAAACCTAGGCACGTTCTGGCAAAATGATGCACTTTCCCTACACAAATGAAATTTCAGCCACTTCTCACTTAAATTTCTTTTTCAGCTACTTTTATACTATTCCTTCATCTTTCCATCCTTTTCTCTCTCTCCGTCTGTGCTTCGTAAATTTAAGGGTACTAGGCACTTGTATTCCGGTCACGGTAGCCGAGCGGTCTAAGGCATGTACTATCTTCCCTCGCTTGGAAACCGGGATCGTGGGTTCGAATCCCACTCAGGGCGTGGGTGTTTAGTTTGTGTGTGTGCGTTTTTCTGTGTTTGTGTACAGGTAGAGGCCTTGCGACGAGCTGATCACCCGCCCAAGGAATCCTACCGAATGTGTAAGATCTANAAAAAAAAAAGACTTGGGCCTTAGCCGGATAAATTGGAATAGACCAGGAAGCAGCATGAATGTAGACAACACCATACCGAAGAAGAAACTGGAAGGGGGGGGAGATAACCGGACATTACGTTTCGCTGGCGTTCAAAGATGGCGTTCAAAAAAAAAAAAAAGAGCAAGGAATTTCAAAGGAAATATTCAGTTGAAGCTACCGCTGCTTGAGAGGTTAAACAGGACATAAAACATTAAGAATAGGCAGGAGTAGACTAATGTAGCTCCCTGTTCATTGTTATCACATACAGAATGTCCGAAGGAGAGTAAATAAATGTTAAAATTTCTTATTTTAAATCAAGCGGGAAGAGTTCTATTTGTCCTACAAGTATTATGGAGTGCATGGATTCGAACCCACTATCCCAATGTTGCAGCGGGCCACTGTGATCGACGCAATAATGAATGGCGTTGTTAAAAATTAATTGTATGGGATATTACGAGTATTGCATCCATAGATCATGTACCTTAATTGTATTTATTGTTAAATTGTTAAAGTGGGGTGTCAGTCCTTTACATAAATTATGTTACGTTACTTCAAAAACATTATATTACATAACAGAGAACGTTAAGAGATGCTCTGCTGACGATTTCTACTACTGTAGACCGATGGCCGAATCATTTTTGTCTAGTGACCATAGGTAAATGCATTCGCGCTTACAAATTGCTGGTCTTATCGTACATTACTGAGTTAAATGTTAAACAGTTTTTATATACAGTCTCTAATTCTGATGTATTTCGTGAAGGAGAAAGATACAAGTAACTGGGTCTGAAGGCTTCAGTGTTCCACGTGAAGAAGTGAATGGATATAGGCAAAACTCTCACAAGAAAACAATGGCCGCACGAAGTGCATTCTGTTGAACTTTGCATTGTTTCCGCTGACGGCTCTGTACCATTGCTCGCTTCTAGTCATTATCGTGGCGAACTACAAGCACCAATTGTACTCTGACAGGGAAAGTTCTGACAGTGTTCTGATGCTGAAGGAGTGATGAAATATTCAAGTCGGAATGCGAGTGCACGTGTTAAACTTTTTGAATTTAATGTGTTTTTATATAATCATGAAATACATGTGGAATTGAATATAACTGTGACTAAACAAAGTGGCGTGTATGTTTTCATCATTACGAAGGAAAGCAATCAGGAAAATGTTAATATGGGATTCATTCAATGTATTTAAGAACGTAACCTCTGATATTGCTTCATTTGTATTAACGCCTTACTTTACTACTTTCCATAGTGCAGCACTAACCAATTAAGCAGCAATAATACCGTATATGAACTTCGGTACACTTATGTTTGTTTTGTTGTGGCATAATATTGTGTTTAGAAAAACTTTACATCTTAGCCATATTATGAAGAACTTCGTGGCGAAATCTTCTAAGTGCAACGGCGGACATGAAGCTAAAATGTCAGAGATGTTACTAGAAGTGTTTCCGTAATAACACAACGAGATACGAAAGAAGGACTATCGAAATGAAGCTTAGAGTCGCTCTTGTCGTGTTGCTTTGTGAACTGAGCACATGTTGCTACATCTTCCCCACAGAGATGAAGGATCCATGCCGTGATAAGAAGTGTCCGTACGGGGCGCGGTGTATCGCCTCGGTAGACGGACTCACTGCCACCTGTGAATGTCCGACGCGGTGTCCTGCCTATGGAGACCACACCGGCTCGCGGCCTGTCTGTGGCAGCGACGGGATCGACTACAAGGACCAATGCGAGCTGAGACGCGCGGCGTGTGCTGCCAATCGGGAGGTCACAGTCAGGTTTCACGGAAAGTGCGGTAAGTAACCTTACGTTCATAGTCTGATATTTGCTCCCTCTGGCGTAACAACAGCTTCAAGTAGAGGCTTCTGTATTTTAGGCCGTGCCCTCTCTTTCGGCATGCAGTTATTTTCCCAGGGTCTACGTACAAATTGTTATTTTTAACAATAAGACTGTTTTAGTGCTGTAAGAGAAAAAGATGGCATACAGGAGTATAATGACTTCTTTGTGAGAGACTATCCAGTCATCAGTCTCTCTGTCATCATGTAACAACAATACAAGGGCAAATACACGGGTTCTCGTCGAGTTTTACACAGGGGAGTTTTGTGAAATGTGTTAATAGATTTCCATTTTGATTCAAATCGGACAACAAAAACGGACACTTTTCATTATGATCTACGGGATTTTCTGCAGGCATCTCCAGCTTAACACACTAAATATTTATCGAAGCGAAATATATTTCTAATAAAAATTGTAGAGAATCTTGTTTGTTTTCATTATACACACTGTAGTCGGCCTAACTTCTTTAGTGGGTACCACAAACTCTATGAGATTACTCTAAAATAATTCCCTCCTAACTGAATCATAGACTTTCTTCAAGTCTATGAATAGCTGATGTACTCTCTCATTGTACTACCATTTTCTTCTCCAACATCAGACGAATGCAAAAATATGACCACTAGTTGATCTGTTACGTCGAAATCCAGAATGGGATTCCCATCAATTCCGTCTACTTATAGAGGTAACCCTGAAAGCAGGATATTGGTTACAATTTTTATGAAGTTCATGAGAGTGATTTGCCTCGATAATTATTGCAGTCAGTTTTATCGCCCTTCCTGTAAACTGGAACAGTAACAAGATCTCTTCCACTGCTGAGGCAGTTCTTTATTCCAAATAGAATCAGTGAGGTTACGAATCTCAGACCGTAATATTTCACCTCCTGCCTAAAATATTTATATTATTCAACTTTGCAATAACAATTTTAAACTCAGGAGGACTAGGCTCAGGTACTAACGGCTCAGCTGTGTGTACTTGAATATGCTTAACATCACTGATTCCGTAAGCATTTAGTAACTGAGAGAAGTAGTTCCTCCACCTATTCAAAATGTTGTGGGAATCTGCAAGCAGATCACCATTGTCATCCTTCACTAAGTTACTGCTAGGCTGGTAAGCCCTCTTAAAGTAATTTATTCCTCTATACAGGTCTCTAATATTCTTGTTGTTACTGTTCGTTTCAAGCTCATCAGTTTTGTCTTTCAGATATTCCCGCTTTTTATTCCCGAAATGCCTGCTGGTTCCACGTCTTATATTGATCAGATTATCCACAAATAACTCGTCTCGATCCCGCAACCACTACTGTTTGTCTTGTTTCCTTCGCTATAATAACTCTGAGCACATTTCGTAGAACCATGGCTTATGCTTCTTCAGTTCATAATAAGCTATACTCTCTCAGGGCGAAATATTTATATTACGTATTCTCTCTTTACAGTTTTCCAAGCTCTATTAATATCCACCTCAATGTCTGAGTTTTCCAAAACTGCGAACCTATTTTAGATTACAACGCGATACTACTCTTTACCCTCTACTTCTTTTAATTTCTTGGGATTTAATCCTCTCTACATGAATTCTGTACGTTGTTTATTTACTCACTGCCAGTCCCTCCCTAACGTTTCCCACCATCAGGTAGTGGTCAGAATCATAATTGCTGCCCTGAATCATCGGACATCAGGTATACTTGAATGCCGTCACTTATCTATCAAAATATGGTCAATTTAATTGTGAGACTTTGCATCAGGAAATGTCCGAGTAAATTTATAAATGTTACGATGTGGGAACGTCGTAGTTTTGACAATTAGANAATTTTAATGTATTATTTGAAATGAAAGGCCAAATAGTTTCTTTTCGTTCATTATAATTGAGAGTTATAAGTAAAGTTGAAATTTTGTTTAATTTTCTCTAAACTTGTCGAAACATCCTGTAATGAATCGAGCAGCACAGAAATTGTAGCCATATACAGCCGTCACAAATTTTAAATCGAACTACATTTTATTTACCTTGTCTTGTTCAATTTATCCCTCTCCTCAGCATCCTGCCTATAACGTTGAATCACCTTGTACATTTGACGTCACATCAAGTACAGATACTCCTTCCTGTACAAAGATCGCTTCATGAAATTTCGTTTGTGCAAACTTCATAATGAAGAGCATACCCTCGAATTGGCTTTGGATAAAATGGTTCTATTCATATTGCGACATGTAAACTCGTTGCTAGGCAACGACCGCAAAATAAGTGATTATACAACAGGTATTGCTAAGTAACGGCTGCACAAACAAACATATTACGGCGGCAACAATTGCACTGCAGCAGAGATACTGTTTTTTCTGTGTGGTCCGTGCCGAGGTGTTATAAGCAGGAAAAGTTAGGTGTTGAGTTAGTCAGTCAGTGAGTGTGCTGGTTAGTAACTTAATGAATATTAGTGAGTTAGCGAGTTAGTTAAATAACTGCTAGGGTTCAGTTAATGTGAGCGATTGCTGCTAGAAGCTGTTAGCAGAGGCAGACGCAGAAGCGTTAGAAGCTGCCGTTAGAAGCCGCTAGGGAAGACTGTGACAGACTGAGGAGAATTGGTGCGTTGTGTAGTGATTTGCGAAGTGTGTAGAACAGTGGGAGCATTATCCACGGTTGAAGTTGTGTGTTGTAAGAGTTGAATAAGTCTGATTACCAATCCAAGCTCCGTCCATAATCACTCTTATCAGGTGAAAATATATAACGTTTTCTTTCGGACGGTAGGTGGTAACATGGCAACCAGTCATTCCAGTCCACAAATGCGAGCTAGAATATTGAAATATTTCCTTTTACAGAAGCATATACACGACAGGCAGTGCTGCGGTCGACTGCTTCTTCGCGGAATCTTACAAGGTACTTTGCAATTGCCCTAGGAGACTGTTTCATGCAGTAGAGTACAGACTTGGTCCTCAAGCTTTGATTTAGCGCTAGTTTCAGTGTAAGCAACTTTATTCATGAACTGATGTCTCACTGCACAGGATGTAGTTCTCCTTCTTTATCAACTCATTACAGCACTCCCTTCGATTCAAGTCACACAATTTAATCCGAAATGTACTAGATTTAAGGGGCCCATACACGTAAGAGTCCTGCTCGGCGAGCTTGACTCGGGAGCCTGGCTCGGATTAATTTCACCACAAACGCATGAGCTGACTCCCAACTTTGCGACCCACACACGGACAAGTTTGGCTCATTGGAACCCGAGCCGAGTCGGACTCGCGAGCCAGACTCGTACGTGTATAGTCCCCTTTAGGTTCCTTCAGAATGTAACCTAGTGAACTGAAGCAGTTGAAAAAATCGCAGAACTAGGTCGGGGTTTTCTGCGGATTCAACTGCCACCTATTTGAAATGTACTGAACGTATGAGAATGAGAAAAATGGATGTTGAAATTTTCATCTATGTTGCATGAAAGAACGGTATTGTAGGAATGAATGAGTGGAACGATGAATGAATGAAAGAATTGATGAACGAGCGAATATTTTACTAGTTCCATTACAGTTTACAGTTTGGGGTTCTGACTCCAGGATATTTCCGTTCGACATCCCGCCTCAATTTCTAGGGGCGTTCAAAAATGATTGACACTAATTTTTTTTCCTCACAGTAACCATTTATTGGAACAAAATATATTCAGATTGTATTAGAGGTATTCCCCGCCAATGTCTCTGCACCTTTGCCATCGCTCCTGCAGTTTCCGTATCTGCACAGCTACTGCCCCTATATTGGATTCGAGGTTCTCACAGCGGCAGCCATGAAGACTCCTATCTTCTGGGATATAACCTGGCTATAAGGCTTTATAACCCAGGAAACTGAACTCTTCACACAGTTCCAATATTATACAACTTATGCACTACATGATTACTTTAACATTTCAGTTATGTGCCCTGTTTTTCTGTCTGCTCATTACTAGTCATTTCAGTTTATTTCTCTTTCAGTCTCTTCTTATTATCCTCTCACATTTATCTATATATAGTCCCATTTTCTGCAACCTGCCTTTATTCTTGCATGCTACTATATTTCTAACACCCATTCTTGTGCCGCTTGTTCACTGCGCGGTTCCCCAAAACCTCACACCTCAAAATGTAATTCAGATCTTCCCCTTAGCTACATATACATAAATCCCCTGGTCACCCTGGTCCCCTTCAGTCTGCAAACCATATTTATCAACATGCTACAGCTCTTTTCGTAATTCTATGTGCACCTCCTTCTCGAGGTTGCTGAAACGGAGAAGTGTGCAAAGGACTAGCAGTTTCACGTTCTGTAAAGTTTCCTGAGGGTTTTTTTACCTGAAATACTGAAGTATGTTAAACGTAATCCAGTCCTTTGGAAAATGGGTGTACTTTACACGAGGGTTGGAACTTTAATAGTGGCAACACTGCTGTAGAGACGCCATGCAACGGAACCAAATAATGTCGCTTATACCACACGTTAGTTACATACCTACCTTATCTCAGAGCAAATGGACTCTCCCTTCCCACATCACGCACATGCGCAGTGACGAGAAGAACAGAGCCTCGTGTTAGCTGGCGGTCTAATGTAGTGCTGTCACGATATTTTCGAACAGGAACAGCGGAGTTGGAAAAAGATTGAATGTGCCAGAGGCCGTACAGCACGACAGTGTCATGAGGGTCTTCAAGAGGCTTGCGGGCAATCTGCATTGCCTTACAGAACAGTGGCAAGGTGGGTAAAAGCCTTCAACGAGGGACGCCAAAATGTGGCAGACATGCGTCGGCCAGGTCGTCCTAGTGTCGGTGAAGAAGAAGTGTATGCTCTTTGTGCGTTACTGGAGAGTGATCGACGCCATACGATTCGTGAGCTGGCCCGAGAGACAGGATTAGTGCATGCGACTGTGCTTCACAATCTGAAGGAACGCCTGGGCATGAGAAAAATTACATCACTGTGGATTCTGCATGATTTGACGGAAATATAGAAATGGCTACTATACGACGCTGCTCGTAACCA